GGAGTGTATGTGTTAGAAGGGAGGGGGAGTGTATGTGTTAGAAGGGAGGGGGAGGGTATTTGTTAGAAGGGAGGGGGAGTGTATGTGTTAGAAGGGAGGGGGAGTGTATGTGATTGAAGGGAGGGGGAGTGTATGTGATTGAAGGGAGGGGGAGTGTATTTGTTAGAAGGGAGGGGGAGTGTATTTGTTAGAAGGGAGGGGGAATGTATGTGTTAGAAGGGAGGGGGAGTGTATTTGTTAGAAGGGAGGGGGAGTGTATGTGTTAGAAGGGAGGGGGAGTGTATGTGTTAGAAGGGAGGGGGAGTGTATGTGATTGAAGGGAGGGGGAGTGTATGTGATTGAAGGGAGGGGGAGTGTATTTGTTAGAAGGGAGGGGGAGTGTATTTGTTAGAAGGGAGGGGGAATGTATGTGTTAGAAGGGAGGGGGAGTGTATTTGTTAGAAGGGAGGGGGAGTGTATGTGTTAGAAGGGAGGGGGAGTGTATGTGTTAGAAGGGAGGGGGAGTGTATGTGATTGAAGGGAGGGGGAGTGTATGTGATTGAAGGGAGGGGGAGTGTATTTGTTAGAAGGGAGGGGGAGTGTATTTGTTAGAAGGGAGGGGGAATGTATGTGTTAGAAGGGAGGGGGAGTGTATTTGTTAGAAGGGAGGGGGAGTGTATGTGTTAGAAGGGAGGGGGAGTGTATGTGTTAGAAGGGAGGGGGAGTGTATGTGATTGAAGGGAGGGGGAGTGTATGTGATTGAAGGGAGGGGGAGTGTATTTGTTAGAAGGGAGGGGGAGTGTATTTGTTAGAAGGGAGGGGGAATGTATGTGTTAGAAGGGAGGGGGAGTATACATATAAGGAAGGATAGTGACTGATTGGACCACAGATAAGAACTGTATCATACTTGAACTAAGGTTATTTTATTTTATCTTGCAGGATCTGATCACGAGGGTGAGACAACTTGAGACCCATGTCAACCAACTTCGTAATGTCGTCCTCAAGTCTCAGGGGGAGACAAATACCAAACAGAGCCGGAAGAAGGGCCAGCGTGAATTTGACTTCAAAAAGTGAGAATTGAAACAATATATGTGTCATTCAATAATGTTTATTAGCTCACCTGATACAAAGTACCAGGTTGAGCTTATATGGTGGTGCTTCATCATTTGTCTGTTAACTTTTGCTGTAAATGTCAGCAGAATTCAACCACAATTGGTGTTAGCATCCTTAGGCATTGGGGGTAAAGAGTTCTACAGTACACATAAAGGAGCTTATCCTCCCGGAGCTGAGATGCTGAGTCAAAAATGGCCAAACAGGCTGATTAGCATTAAATGATGTCTCCCCCCACACAGATTTCAACCAAATTGTAATGGTAGTTTGCTTAGCTTGACAGAATCCAATTTGTTTTCAATAAAGGTCTGGATGGGTTAAATTGCCTTATTTGCCTTAACTCATTCACCCCTAAAATTTCATAATCAACTATTCCAACCTTTGAATTGATTTCAAATGTGTCTTCAGGGGTAAATGAGTTAAGTGTTACTTACAAACTACTGAACAGATTTGAAAATAAATACTGTAAAGTACTAGGCTGCTCAGCCCACAGAAATCAGACATTACAACTAAAAAGGGCTGACATTCCTGGGGGCTGAGGGCTCTGGACAGAACATGTATTAATATCATCGAAAAGTGATAATGATTCAGAGAAAATAGAGTAGAATAAGAGAAATATATTCCCTAGTGTAATCAAATAAAAGAAGTGGAAGATTTCAGCTAGGTATAACACAGTATACTTGTTGTTCCCAGAGGGTACAGTGGTCTTGTCATTTTCCTTTTGGAAAGGCTTAACTCATTCACCCCTGAAGGTACATTTGAACTCTTCCAATTCAAATGTTGGAATAGTTCATTGTAAAGTTTCAGGGGTGAATGAGTGTTGTTTCAACCTGTTTAGTACCTATATGACAGTTTTATTATGTAATGTACTGATAATATTACAGCACTTGACTATAGTAATGACTATCCTCATAGGTACAATACACGTCATGTGGCTCTCAAGGTCCTGTACCTCGGCTGGGACTACCATGGGTTCGCCGCACAGGAGGACACGGAGAAGACTATAGAGACCGCTCTATTTGAGGCGCTTCTCAAAACGAGGCTCATCGAAGACAGGTCAGTAAAGACTAGAGTTTAAAACAATGCATAAAGGATCTTACATGAGTTTCCATTTCTAGATTTGTGGCATTTATCTGTGTAAAACGACAATTTTCATGCAACCTTGAAATGTAAAAAGCCGCCATTTTGACTCCAGTGCGTAAGTCTATGACGTCAAAATGTACTTGTCCTAGCGATAAATTTAGATAACAGAGGTGAAGTATTCTGCTTTACTTCTTCAGAAACTATGAACAAGTAGGCTGAACAAGATTTTTCCCTAGTTTACTGGACAAAGTATTTTGTATCTGAATCGGAGCAAAGACATACTAAATCAATTCAGGAAAAGAAACAAAAATATGTATACAGAACCCGTACAAGTATTGATAGAAAACAAATGGATTAGAAATGGGAAAAATCCAAAGGATTTTACATAAAAATGGCACTGGGCTGAAAATTATAAACAGTTTGTTACCTAAAATCATATACGGCAGTTCAGTAATAAGAGTTGCTCAAAATATTTGATTGGTACATATTATACTTACAAGAAAAATATGTCTATTTTCTAGAGAAACTTCAAGCTACCACAGGTGTGGGAGGACAGACAAAGGAGTCAGCGCCTTCGGACAGGTAAGTTGTATACCTATTTCTCACTTGGTCACGATGGTTTTTGTTACCTTATCTATTAACCCTTTCATCACTGTAGACCATAAATTGGCATAATGGACTCATCCATACCAATGCATGGTAGAGTCTACTAAAGTAACATAGGGGTGAAAGGGTTAGATTGTTTTAAAATACACCCAAGAGGGCTTGAGATTAGTTGAATGCACAAGTTATAAATGTTGATGAGAAAGCTTTGTGCTAAAGGACAGTATGATGTTCCCCTCGGCGTTTGTCTTATTGCAGTATAAGGAAAATGTAAATATATTCTTCTAAAAATATGGATTCATTAAAAATGCTGCTCAATATTCAGATTTATAATAGAATCATTACCTGATGTTACCTTGTTTTGTACAGGTGATTTCCATTGACTTGCGGACCAATTTGTTGGAGGGACCAGGTGTGAAAGTGAGGGAGGATGGAACAGCGTATGAAAGGCCCGGTAAGTAATTAGGGAGAAGGATGGAACAGCCTGTGATAGTCCCACTAAGTAAAACAGGGAGGATGAAGGAACAGCCTTCAATGGTTTCAGTAACAATTGTAATGAATGGTTAACTGTACAGATTCTATGGTCCCTTCATATTCACGACTTTTTCACCACTCGGAAATCTGACAGAAGAAAGTGAAACCACATCGCTTCTGCAAACATGTGAAGCATTCAGATAAGTTAAGTGCACTATATTGCATGATAAGAACCTGAGAGTTGGAACATGACAGAAGTACTCGAAACAAGTCAAAATTTGTAGAGAGTTACTGTCTTGTTGAAAATATTTTTGATAAAATGTATACATTCTAGAATAAATTTGTAATAAAACTTGCAATTTCTTTCAAAGTTTCTTCATTAGAAAATAGAGCTTGTGAAGATATGCGACAATGTTTAGTCAATTGTCGGAAAGAATTCATGTTGAGGCCAAATTTCAGAGGAGCTATGTTCTGACATGCATGATTGGCTTTTTGCAGGTGAAAAAACTACAGAGGTACGATACGTCCACATCCTTAACAAGGTGTTACCACCAGAAATCAGGATTCTGGCCTGGGCTCCTGTTAATGTCAACTTCAGTGCCAGGTAAGAAAGAAGACAGGAAGGCTTCAACTAGTTTTATTTAGATTGAAATTCCACCAATTTTTGTATGATGAGTCCTATGAAAACATTCGTTAATTGAGAAAGTCTGCAAGTTAGAGACAGAATACATGTACAAGGATAATGCAAGGGACATAACTCTCAACAAGCAATATTAATGCCAGTTCATTTATTTCAGATTTGACTGTAAGAAAAGGACATACAAGTATTTTTTCCCGAAGGGCAACCTCGACATCCAGGTAAGTTATGTAACAATGACTTTATGATGAACGTTGCTGATTATTTTATCTAAAACTCTTGTCCTTGATTTTCTATCTCTGGCCATGTAATGGCTGCTAGTGTGATTTAGACTATGCTGGAGGAGTGACAGGTATACAACACTGTTACGTGAGAAAGCTTGTATCACCAATAAACAGACAGTAAAATTTAACAAGAATGTCATTGTCATACCTTGTAGGATTAAATTTTGAGTAGTACAACAATATATACACACCAGGCGACTTATTTACTGTATCTTCTCCACCAGTGGTCTTAAACCAAAGAATTGGGCTTCATTATAATGAAGATAACTTTGAGAATAGTATTAAACTTTAACTCTAAAAAATATTCAAGGTGGAGACTTAATGTATATAAATATTTAAATTGTGCACATTTAAAAACTAATTTGGGTACAGTAATTGCAGGAAATGAAATATTTTAACGGATATAAATATAATATATAAATGTGTAAAATTCTTTCCATATTATTGATTGATTGAACTGTAATTATTAGTTTTTTTTAATTGAGCCCTTTCACCACTGTAGACCATAATGGACTCATCCAGATCAATGTATGGTAGAGTCTACTAAAGTTACCTAGGGGTGAAAGGGTTAGAGACAGTTAGTTTTTAATCAGAAACCAGTATTGAACAACAAACTTCAAATAACAATTTATTTTATTAAAGTAAAGTAAATGTATACTGATGATGCTTTTCTTTTATCTACCACTCTTTATTTGTAACTAAGATGTACAGCAAGAATAAAATGTTACTGCAAGCCTTTCTGTCACCTTCTGTATCTGATTTCTTTGCAGGCAATGTCTGAAGCTGCAGAAAAAATTACTGGTGAACACGACTTCCGCAATTTGTGTAAAATGGATGTAGGCAATGGGGTGGTTAACTTCCGACGAAAAATTGTCTCGGCTGACATCAAGGACTTGGATGAAAGGTAACATTCAGTTTAATTCTTAAAATTTAAAGTTAGAAACATTGGGCTTGTTATATTGTTACATTGGGAAGAAAAGTTGCTTTGTAAAATTAAAATGAATTGTAGCTTTGTAGTACTTTTAATTTTGTATAGTATAATATTTCCCACAATATCAAGCTGATTCCTCATGTAATCTTGTCATTTTATTTTAACCCTTTCACCCCTATGTAACTTTAGTAGACTCTACCATGCATTGATATAGATATGTCCATTATGGTCTACAGTGTTGAAAGGGTTACTTTATCAAAACTTCTTTAATTTACCTGTTTGTAATTCTACCGTTCTAATTATGTCTTGGAGGAAGTCAGGGGTGACTGCATGTCACAGTAGCTGTGACATAATTAAGTATTCCATTTTCTAAACCTGGATAAAAACCTCAAGGTACAAAGGAGATGAAGTAGAGTTTTAACAATTTGGTGTTTGTTCTTGCAGGGAGAATGGCTACCAGATGTGTGAGCTTACTATCGTGGGCCTAGCATTCCTGTGGCACCAGATCCGTTGTATCGTTGCTGTGCTGTACCTGATCGGTCAAGGAAAGGAAAAGTCAGAGGTTTGTTTGTTACAATTGGTCATTGAGAGGCACACATTTGTTATAATTGGTCATTGAGACGCACACATTTGTTATAATTGGTCATTGAGAGGCACACATACTTTGGGGCAAATACAATTTGATTTTCATTGATGTCGGTGAGTGTAGAAAATGTTCAGTGTAGGGGAGATAACTCACCTATAATACAGGATTCTTATCTTGCATGAACGTTTAATCCTCACCATAGAAGGTTGTTTCAGTCAGGATAAGTAGTTCACTATTGTACATAAGTGATGTCTCAAACCTGTCAATATAAAAGGAATAACCTTCAGTGAGTTCCATACCACAGAAAATTTTGTTATGAGTTCAAAGTTTTCATTTTCATGAGCAAGGCTCTGCTGAGCTTAAAAGAAAGTATTCAGACAAATTTCTAAATATATAGCATGGAAGCAAAGATTTGTTTTTGTATTACCAAGAATGCATACAAATATTCATGACATGTCTCAATCTCTATGATATGGTGTCAGTAGTCTTATTTGTGATGTCACAGAGGGTAAATTACACCAGGTAATATCCAAAACACTGAAATGGAGTAATAAATATAATTATAAATGATTTGAAATTGAATTTTCAGATCATTGACGAGCTGCTGGATGTTGAAAAGACACCAAGAAAACCACAGTATACCATGGCCTCAGGTAAACAATTTATATATATAATTGCAAGACATTTTGAAAGCGATTTTTTTTTTATCTGTGTCAAGTGTAAAAAAGGATTGAACTGTTTAAAGACCATTTACTTTATTCCATGGTACAATGCTGTCTTTGGTGTTTCCTTTGAATGACTTTCTTGGAGCCGAGGGAACTGACCAAATAAGGGGATATAAGTAAAATTAAGCCTTGAAAGGATTACAATTTTTTTCTAGATTTGGTCTGAAACATTACTTGGGCAAGATGATCGTAGTGCATATAAATGAAGATTGTGCATCATCTGGGATTGGAGGGGCAGGGATAAAAAAATGTATATTTGGGGCATTTTTGCTCAAAAGTCCTACTCCTCCTGAACAACTGCACAAATTATAACCATAGTTTGCTTGAAACATTACGAAGGCAAGCTGATTATATTTTGTATGAATGGAAATTGCAAGCCTCTTAGGCCAGAGCGACTTAGATCTGAAACAAAACAAAACTGATGGTGTAAAGGTGTACTGAAATAATATTGAATAATATTTCAAAATGTTTATGAATGTCAAGTCACACATTGCTTTATATTGACAGAGCTACCACTAGTGCTGTTTGATTGCGAGTTCGCTGATGATGTAGAATGGATTTATGAAGCAGGTATATTGTGTTTAAATTCATTATTCCTGTAGATTGTAAGGCCTTGATCACCCTTACTGTTAAGTGATGTTGTTATTGATCCTGTCTAGGGTGTATTTACATTGAACATAATTTTATCACACTTAAATAATAATAATAATAGTATTTTTAGGTTCTTATATACAGCTTTATCGCAACCTAGTTCGTAGGTCGTCTCAAAGTGGTTCACAAACTATTATCCGTGGCTATAGGGCCTTACTGTATGTAAACATGTTACTGGTATATATGGTTCTGTAGCAGTGCCATTTTTCAGGGTATCCTATTTTTTATAAAACTTAGTAGACAAAATGACTAAATCTCAAAGGAGTTGGAGCCAACATTTGTTTTCAAAAAATATTGACAGGAAAAATCTGAAATATAACAAAGCACTATATGGTCAACAGTAGCAACATATACACTGATACTTCTTTCTTAACTCTTTCAGATTGGCACGAGGAAAACATACGTCACCTTCAGCAGATATGGGCTCACCACACTGTCAGGTACGTAGATGTACATGTCATTGTAACAGGCCTGGAATGTCCTGGCTGGTCCCACAGTGCTAGAAATTGTATTGTTACATTCCACAACCTTCACTGAATCATTTCTATTCTGAAGAACACATGCCATTATATATTTGTGTCATGGGGCAGTAATCTGCATGTGGTACAAAATGATAGATTTATAGAATTTTTATTTCAACCCTTTGTGTAAGATTATTTTCAACGCAGTCTGAGGCTGTGCTTATTGATGGAAATTTAAGAATCTTCCCCGGAATAGCTCCAGTTAAGTCCCTAGTAACTTATATAATTACCTTTAATGTTTTGTATGTTGCAGGTCAACAATGATTCGTCGAATGTTAGAAGAAATGGACAGTGCTAAAGTTGAAACTGGTAAGCGTTTCATATCTTTTCCTTTTACTGTTGAATGGGAAAATTTCATCCTCATTCTACTGTCAACAGTTCTGCCATTGAACAAGACAAAATTATTCAAAATTGTGTTATAACTGCTGTAGACTGTGGTGTACTGTTTGAAATTGTGCTTCAATGTTCACTAACTGTTTGAAATTGTGCTATAATGTTCACTGACAACTGTTTGAAATTGTGCTATAATGTTCACCGACGACTGTTTGAAATTGTGCTACAATGTTCACTGAAGACTGTTTGAAATTGTGCTACAATGTTCACCGATGACTGTTTGAAATTGTGCTATAATGTTCACCGACGACTGTTTGAAATTGTGCTACGATCTTCGCTGATGACTGTTTGAAATTGTGCTACAATGTTCACTGAAGCCTGTTTGAAATTGTGCTACAATGTTCACCGACAACTGTTTGAAATTGTGCTACAATGTTCACCGACAACTGTTTGAAATTGTGCTACAATGTTCACTGACGACTGTTTGAAATTGTGCTACAATGTTCACCGACGACTGTTTGAAATTGTGCTATAATGTTCACTGACGACTGTTTGAAATTGTGCTATAATGTTCACCGATGACTGTTTGAAATTGTGCTATAATGTTCACCGACGACTGTTTGAAATTGTGCTGTAATGTTCCCTCTCTGTTTTATATTGTTATATAATGTTTCGGGCCTGTTTTAGATTGTGACATTGCCCCCTGGAAGGACCTCAGCTCCCCTATTTATAACCAGACAGAGTGGATCATACCGGGAAACAAGAGCAAGGTCCACAAACGCCTGCTTGAGCGACAAACATGTGGTGAGTCTTCGCTCTGTATATTTTACAATAACATTTTTTTTAAGGGAAAACAATAATTGTTTTGCTTGAAATTTATTAATTTCTAAATTGTTATTCAAAATTATTAAGGGAAAACAATTGTTTAGCGTTAAATTTATTAATTTTGAAATTGTTATTCACTCTTTTTGAGGTAGTTGATAGTTTAACAAAAATAGTGTGCCAGTCATTTAAGACTTTGTTTTTAAGAGCAAATTACTCAGTGGGTTAGTTATATTTTTTGCATTGATGGTTCTGACAGACAGCCTAGAACAGCGGATAGAAAACTATGCAAAGAGGAGAAAACTAAACACGCCGCCATCTACAGACATGACCTCAGGTTCAAACCCAGTTTCAGCCCCAGGGTCTGGGTCTGTCTCCCCCACCCCTGAGGCACAAACCAGCTAGGGTTGGAGGTTTGGTGTCGCACCCCGACAGACTTGCCTAAACCAGGACTGAAGGATGTGTTCAAATAAGGAGTCACAAAGTTACACTGGAAGAGGACAGACTATCAACCAGAAATATTGAATTGGTTGTTGAACACTAAAATTTAAAGATTACAATTCAGTCAACTTCCTTCAGGACTTGGATCACAGGGATTCGTTTCTGGTTGGCCCTGTTCAATCCTGTTGCTTCTTCTTTGTTATGATCTAGAGAACCGATGATCATAAGCCGAGTAGGTAACACACACAAGGCTTTTAGAGAGTAACTCACCTGTCTGTCTAGAACAGGTAATTTTCCCATCGGTTTTGACCATACATAGTGCACTTCATATAAATATTTTGGAGTTCTGTTCATGACGACAACATCCAATAGGATATTTGGTAAAATTTCATAACTCATCCTACATGTACTCAAGTTATCTACATGGACATTGAACTCAGTTCATAACTGTTAGTTTTTTTCAAATTCAATGTTTCATTATCCGAGTTTTCACAAGATTCAGCAGTTTTATACCAAGTTCAGCTGTGAACATTTTTGAGTCCTTCAAGATTTAATTGTGGATTGTGTACACAATTCTAGCTTTAACGATTCTGATGTTTGTATTTTAAATATTTCAGTGTTGGTATAACAGTGAGACTTAACTCAATAATTCTTAACAAAATTGAATAATGTTTGAAATTTCATATTTTTGTCAACAAGAGATATCTGGTTTCCCCAGAATTAGCAATTTGACCATTGCAGCAATATTCATAAATTAATAACTTAGCCCAACCGGTTCAACCTTTTGTATCGTGATAAAGAAAACAGCCCAGGTCTTTTGTTAAACTGGTATGTTTTAATGACTGTTTTTTAGATTTTGTTTTTATTCATAGCTTTAAAGATTATTCAGTCTTGAAATGTTGATAGCTGTCAACATGATTTTTTAGTGCTTGTAAATGTTGATTTTGCCTCCCCGAGTGCCAAGATTAAGGGCAAAATATTGTTATATGATCTGACATTTTATTCTAGTATGGGTGAAATATTTCAAAGTAAAGATTAGTTTTGTAACTATTGGATGTACTGAAGATGATGCGATATTGCGTTATTGCTAGTTTTATACAGTTTTTTTAACAGTTCTGAGCCAACTTTTGTTAAGATAAATATTCTTTCATTAACCCTTTCACCACTGTAGACCATAATGGACTCATCCAAATAAATGTATGGTAGAGTCTACTAAAGTTACCTAGGGGTGAAAGGGTTAAAATGAGATTGATGATTTGAAATTGAAAAATCTCAAATGACATACCATTTTGAGTAGTTATTTCAATTTATAGAGAACTATTAGTGTTTCTAAAACTAAACCAAAGGAACTTCATTCATCGTAATTCCTTGATGCACAGTATACTCTGTACCAACAAAGTACTATAAAAGTTTTACTTCAACAGTTTCGTTGTTCATTCTGTCAGTTAATACATATCCCAAAAACGAGTACAAGAAACTAAAACAAGAGATAATGAATATATTCATATCTTCATAATATCTGTCCACCCACCGTCAATAATTCTCACCATTCCTCTACACTCTGTCAAACTAACCAAACTATACCTCTTTTACTAGGACCACAAAGCCAAAGCCATAATACTCTGGAAACTTTCCCTGTTCAAAGTATTGTTAACTTAACTTTAATTTTGAATATGTGTATTTAATATTTTTTTAATTATTGAAATTTATAATGAAATTTACTTGTGAGGTTTGGTATAGTTGCTCAAAGAAAATTAATCAGAAACTGTTATCAGTTCAATTAAGTTGCATCAGAAGGTTTTGAAAGATTTATATGAATTTATTTATCTTACAACAATTAATTTATTAGGAATTGTAATGGAGGCAGCTTTCAGCATCTGTATTCATATAAAAAATACAATTACACAATATTACATATACTACTTCAGGAAAAATACAATTCAGTTGAAATAATGTTCATAAATATTATAATAACAATTATTCTTCCAGTGTTTGTCTATAAGAATTTCAAATTGTATAACTGTGGATGCATCAATGACATGTTGAGGCAATGAAACAAGTTTTCTTTGACTTGAATTAATCACTCTTGTTGGTTCAGATGTTAGTGTGCACGGTGATTTGATTGTGGGAGGAAGCTGGAGTACCTGAAGAGAACCTGCGTGGTCGGGCAGGTGTACCCATACCTTTTCACCTGACCACACAAGTTTGAGTTGGGAACTCCTTCAGGTTACAATACTTTGAACACTGGGATCAGAATAAAACTGTGTTAAAGGATTGTTTTATGTATATAGTCTTACTACATCATTGTGTGCCCAGTGAAGGAACTGTGAACACCTAACGTTGTACTTAGATGTGCCTATGATTCCTTAGGTCCTCTCTTGTTTTATATGTACCAGTAATTTACTGTGTGATTCATTATAAATGTCCTAACTCGACACACACATTTAACCCTCTCATCCCTATGCAACTTGAGTAGACTCTACCATCCATTAATCTGGATGTGCCCATTTTGGTTTACAGGGGTGAAAGAGTTAATACAAGGATTTAAAAGGTAATTCTTCAGATTAACTTTATTTTCAATATGTATGTAGACCACCACAGCTAGCTGTCAATAAGAGCATTTTGTAAGGACCAACACAATCTCTTTCCTCTGTTCTCTCAGCTTATAGTAAGATATACAATATTTAGAATAAAAAAATCTTTTTAAACGAAAACTGATTTCTGATCCATTTGAAATTTTGCCAATGAATCTTAGATATGGATTCATTACTTGGTACAAGTATTTAGGTGAGAATTAGTTAGATTTTGTATACTTAAATATCTCTTGTACATAGATACTTTAACTCTCTAAGGTAAGAAAGCATTGAAGGCATAATTATTGAATTTATACAATGTAGACCTTTTATAAATCATGGAAAACAACGGTGCTTATTTATTTTAGTTAGAAGACGGAAAACTCGTTGGTGTTAGTGGCATACCAGAATCAATAAGTTTCCACTTTTGGTTTGAAAGTGTGAAGAACCGCAGTCTTTAGAATACATTTCATTGTCGTTATATTTACAGTACAGGGTAACATGTGATTTCTGTTAAAGCTTAAAATTCTCGTCGAAGGTATACATACTCACAGATATTTACAGGTGTTAGACAAAGAGGTTTGGTTATTGTTAGATATTTATTTATGTTTTTGTAGATTTTTTCTGATTAGAATACAGTAGTCATTTTGTGTAGACTCTAGTCGGTTTATTTGGATCTGGATTTTTTGATGTGTAGCTCTCGTGGCATTTCAGTTTGTAGAAACCTGTATAGACTCATTGTACAATTAATACACTGAAGAAGGAGGCATGGGTTTTAATGACAAACTGACATATGAGCAGCTTATTTAACATGTAATAACAATGTGAAAAAGTTCAAATTAAATAGATTTTAAGCCATAATTGCGAGGCATAATGGCGCTTAAGATATGTATTTGACCTAATCAAAAGTAAGAGGAGTTTGTTATGTTGTCTGTGTTGCAAATTGGTGCTGAATGTTTAAAATTAAGAAAAGATCATGCGTTATTGTAAAAGTATTTGTTATTGATAGAAATATTATTGAAGGGGAACGTAGACCATTTATAATAAATAGGTGCTTAGTTTTAGTTACCGTTTAACCAGGTATACATTTCATTTAGTTCTACTGTCAAAACAATTCAAGAATTTAATATAATTATTAAACGTGATCGTAAAAACACTTTTGAGCCTGTTATGTAAACATCATCAGGACCATCAATACATAAACTGGGCGTTCAATAGCAGCGAAATGTACTGAGACCAGAAAAAGGATTCGAGGAAAATTAGGGAATTCAAGATGTTCGCATATTATTCAAAGTTTGACTGATTTGTTACAAGTTAAAAAAGTCACGGATTTGGTTAATGATTTCATTCCCCAGTTAATTTAAATTTTATGATAATTGGGTATTAATGTTTTAAAAATTATTTTCAGAACTGTTTATTTTTTGCATTATTAGTTGGTTCACTGTTGAAATACCTCAAACAGTTAGAGCTTCCAAAATTGAGAGTTTTTAGCCCACTTTGTCTGTACTGGTCAGTGGGCTGCTCCTATGTAAGGTCAGTCTGAAACTTCAGGCTGACAGTTGTTGGTCAGACCGTTTTGACGGAGAATGGTTTTGTTAGCGATGGTTGAGAATTTGGCTGCCAAAGCCACTAGTCAGTGTATCATATTTGATTCATTTTGCTTGTTAATTTTCTTCTTCGTTTTGTTGTATTTACTGACTGATTGCTAGAAATAAATAGATGTTACTACACTACGACACTAATTTCTGATTTTAATTTTTTCCCCAGAGTAATAAATAAAGAAATAAGTGAAATATAGAAGTCATTAGACCCAGAAAAGTACATTTTAATGTTGTATAAACATTTCAATTTTGTTTGTCAAAATGATTGTGTTCAGACCAGGATTTATTTTTCAAGTATTTCCTTACTATTCCTTTAATGTCTCCTAAGTTATGTTAGAATAATGTTATCCTATTTTCTGAATGGTCCAATCGTCCGTCAGTACCACATACCCGGTATATCCCTCGTTTGTGGCACTGGAATGTATAACAGTCAAAAACTTTTCTACATTGTTTAGCTTTTCATTTTTTTTTAAAGTAAAGTTTGAGTAGATTTATTTCAAAATTTCTTGCAATATTAACTCATTCACCCCTGAAAACGCATTTGAACTCTTCCAATTCGAAGATTAGAATAGTTCATTGTGAAATTTCAGGGGTGAAGGAGTTAAGATACTGAGCTTTAATTTGTTTAGTGTGGTTTGTTGTTGACCTTGTTATAACATTCCATGGGGGTTTTGGAAGATGAAATGTGTTTCGTGACATTATTTGACCTGAAGAAACATACATCTAGCAATACTTCTGATTAAATGTTTTATGCTCACAGCAATATCACTTCATAATTTGTGGGCAGAGTTTGAAAAAAGTTTCATTGAAATAACAATTTTTCACATGTAAATTGAGTACCACAACAGAATGTGTTCTTAAGAAATTGTGAAAAACATTTTGTGATTTGATTTGATTTGATTTGATTTTGCGTTATTTCACTGCAATGCACATGCCAAATGGTTCTATAGTGCTCCAAGTATATTTGTCTGTGCATTTCGCCTGGTATTTGTTATTGTTACTAGTACGACTCACTGGAACATTGTGGTGCCTAGTTAACGGTGGATAGCTTGGACTTATCAAAACAGAAATTGGATTGTGATGCCACATTATAATTAACTAACTGGTGCAAAATTTTGAAAGCTTTACTGATACTGCAGTTCACACTGTTACGGATCACTGCGTTTAACAGGTAGTCGGAGGAGTAGTGTAGATTATTTACATTGAAGAATTAATTATTGAGATTTTACATATGTTACTGTTAGTGGAAGATTTGTAATACTCATGTATACTCATAATATTAGTTAATTATTACAGAAAGAAATCATGGTGCAGAGATTAAATGATATTTGTCTACCAATGAAAGCATTAACTCATAATAAGACTTGTTTGATATCACATGTATACAGGGAACAGACTGTGTTTTAGATATGGGATGGTGTCGGAGTTGACGAGTGCTGACATCGGAGGGGGGACGGGGGTTGGGGGTCGGAGTAGGAATTGTTTAGAGGATTTATCTCATGTGCTTCCATACAGTTGTTATTGTATATTAAATTACATTGTATTAACTGAACTTCATTCTGACCAAATAGGTTTGGTTAAACTCATTCACCCCTGAAGGCACATTTAAACTCTTCCAATTCAAAGGTGGGAATAGTCCATAATGAAATTTCAGGGGTGAATGAGTTAATGGGAAAACCTGCCGATATCGTTGTTCAGGGGGTTGTTCTGGGCTGCTTGTCTTTAACATTTTTGATTGTGCAGCCACTCAAACTGTAAATGTATTTAAAGTTATATATATTATTGTCTAATGTGCCATTGGATTTGAACATCTTTTTTATTCGTATGTAATATTTTCATTTTCTAAGGCCTGACTACCAAAATGTAAATCATTTATATGTATATAAAGGAATGAGAAGTTGGCTTAACATCTAAAAACAAGTCAATTGGATTGAAAAACAGTCTTTACATACAAGTAGTCTGTTTGAAATCGATGGGAAAATCTTCAGTAATTAGGTGATCTACCTGAAAGTAGGATCATGGTGGAGAGTGTTTTGGTAGTTGGGCCTGACCTTTGTATATTTTGGTGTATGTATCATTTTGGTCATTAAACTGTTATTTGTTTAATTATAACATTGTTACTGTCTCTTGTTGTTTGGAGTGAATGTTAAGTGGTCACTGGTCAAGTTGCAACAATCAGGGCCAGCAACTCTAAATACTTCACCGATATTTGTGATTCTTATTTAGGAAAAACACATATATATGGGTACTGTATAGCGCTTTAAATTTGTGGGGTTAATATTTCTCTGTTTCGTATTCAGTACATATTTGGGGCGGGGGTTAAATTTCGCTAACCACCAGAATCCCATGCGTCGTACAAAGTATTTTGAGTGTCATCATTTACGGGATAAACCTCGATACAGGTAAACCGTTTGAAAACACTGATTCTGAGTGTCGTCATCCACCAGTGACTTCACTCGAAAGAAAATCAAATATGTATGTACCTTTATAGGAGTAAACTGTAAACAATTAATCACCTACTGTGTACACATAAATATGATGTGGCCACTTAAGTGGTTCACATTTTCTAAATTTTGCTGGTGTTTAGAATATGCGGATATTAGTGCGAATATAGCGAAATTAAAACCCCTGCGAAACATAAAAATCGCGATACTGTATTTGATTATTGCTGTTGAAAAAAAAAATTGATTTTATCAAGAACATTTTGAGAAGTAAAATATCAGAAAGCTTCTTTTTGATGATTAGCAATATATAGAACTGATGTTAATTGTAGGCCACCATAACTATAGATTTTTTATTTTTTTTTATTTTTTTAATTTTATTTTGACCTATAGATTATACCAGGGGCCTGGTTTTAAACTGACCTGGATTATAACCTAGGAGCTGTTTTTATAGATATTTTTAAGGGGAAGATGATCTCTCCATAACATAAGCAATGGTATGTTTCTCAGTTCAGACGTTTAGAGAAACCGATTTTAGATATGTTGCTCACTTTCAATTTGTTTCAATCTTGTCCCAGTTTTCAGGGTTGTAGATAGATTTAACTTCGCCCTAAAGATTGTTGATGAACGATGTAGTCTTCATAACTCTGTTGATATCGGTAAAGGATGTTTATTTTTTTCAATACAGTTAAACATTTACTGATTTTAAAGCATTTTTGAAGCATTTTTGATGTTGAATCACTTTTGAAGCTCCCTTTCCACCGAGGTAAGAGTTGCTGGTTTTGATTCTATGAGGTGACAATGTAGTATTGTTATGATTAAGTGTAAGATGTATGAAGATGTTGTAGAATGCATGTAAAGGTTTATAAAGGTATATTTCATTATATTATCAAGAATAATATTAACTATTAAAAATTCATTTTACCTGTAATGGGGGATACTGTGTCCTGTTTTTGTAGTGTACGTTGTGATTTTTTTTGCATTGCTTTTCGTTGTCAAAAACACTTTAACACAGTTTAACAGAATAACTGAAAGGTCAGAGTTATTTGCTATCTACATGTTTCGGCCTGTAACCGCAAGGGACCTTTGTCCTTATGATGGCCGCATAACAGGCCGAAATCTGTAGACAGTAAATCACACGAAGCGTTCTTGTGGTGTAGGGATTCCTTTATTTCTCGATTCATTTTTCTAACTTGAAAATGTAATAAAGTTGATCACTTCTGTTTGCCCGGACGGAAGCGTGCAGAGGGTCTTAATGTGGGAGGAAACCAGAGTACCCGGAGAAAACCCACGGTCGGGCAGGTGACCCCATACGTTTTCACGTCTGTTCAGGGAATCAAACCCGGGGCACCCTACACCCTTTTTCAAAAAGTAAAAACAAACAATAAATGAAATCAGTGATATTAAGTAGAAATAACAAAGACTTCCCCCATCATTTACCCTTTTCACCCCTATGTAACTTTAGAAGACTCTACCATGCATTGATATGGATGAGTTCATTATGGTCTACAGTGGAGAAAATATTTTAAACATATGAACATTTCCAGTATTAACTGTTATGACAGGTATTATATGTTATTGTACGATATACACTGTTATTGTCTGTGTCCGTAGTAACAGTTACCAGAGACATGTGTGCCATTTAATGGTATAAGTCGTTATCTTATTTGCATGGTTTGCATGGTATTTGTCATTGTTTGTCCTGTGGTATTTGAAATCACAGCTTATACAACATTTTGTTGTCCTGTAATGACATTTTATTATTCAACTGTCAGTGTGAATTGTATCTTCCCTTTGATGATAATATATAAAACAAAATTTTGATGTAAACAAATTTGATGATGTATCTGTCTGTTTGTAAGCGAACTTTGGGTATAACTGCAGTGTGTATTGATAGTTGATCCCACCTGATTCAACAGATTACATCATCATGTTCAAGGCTGGATATGTCGGCATAACTAGCTGTGGGAACCGTATCTCATTGTCCAATCAAAATACGATTTTTATTATCTCGTGTCTAGATCTATGGCTGATGACATGAAATAATAAAAATGTAAATTATTGGAAAAATGAAGCACAGCTCCTGCATCTACGCATTAATTAAAAGCTTTAACAAAAGGATTGAATCACAGTAAAAGTACAGACCACTGATCGGTTTCAACACCTTACACTGACTGGCCATGGTGTGGTGTTTGAGTTATTTCATTGATAAAATTTTGTATTACTTGTAGATTTTGTAGAAAATCAAAGATTTCGATGATTTGGATAAAATTATGTGGTGCTTGGAATGAATTAGTGCTTATGTAAACTAGAATTGTTGTAAAATAAAAACTGTACAACCACAGTTACAGTATTTCTGGATTCAAACAGGACTGTACAATGTAAAATTGCTCTAGAAAGTATGAGAACAGGAAAGAAATTGTAGAATATAATTTTGTTGGTTTGAAGGAAAAATTAAGAAAAAGGTGAAAATTGGTAACAGGATAAGATAGAGTATTGTTGTAGTTAGTATTGATGACATTTTGGAAGTGACGGATAACGATATGTTGTATGTGTACCATGTTAACTGTTTAATATGTGTGACTGTGTGGCTGTTATTGTCATTTTTATGTAGTCATTGTCTTGCCAACGGGTATCCTGGGTTTACTATAATAAAAACACATCAATTAAACACTGCCTTTGGATTGTCATTTTCAAACATCTAAGTGATGATAAGTTCACCTGAGCTTTAGCTCAAGTGACCTGTTGCTATCCGTCTTTGTCCATCCTCGTCCGTCGTCGTCTGTCGTCTGTTAACATTTTACATTTTCAAGTTAAGCTGAAATGACCATGTGTTGTTATTTTTCGGGTCAATCAGAAATCCAATATGGCCACCACGGCTGCCATTTTGAAAAACTATTTCAAACTTAAAGTCAAGTTATACTGGGCCAATTTAACTAAAATTTGGAAGCAATGATCAACTCATGGTCCTGACAAAATGTTATTATTTTTCGTGTTGATCAGAAATCGGCCGCCATTTTGAAAAACTATTTCAAACTTAAAGTCAAGTTCTACTGGGCCGATTTAACTGAAACTTGGAAGCAATGGTCAA